TTGTGAGGAGCACCTGGTGGTGGTCGGTTTATGGTGAAATAATGTTCTTTCCACTTCTGAATTATGGCCCCAACAGTGCTCACTGGAACCTTCAGAAGTTTAGACATTCTTCTGTAACCGATGCCATCATTATGCTTTGCAATAATGAGGTTGTGAAGGTCTTGAGAGAGCTCTTTACTTTTACCCATCATCAGATGGTTCTTGTGTGATACCTGGCCATCATTTGGGACTGAACCAGCTGATATTAACTTGCACTGACAAGGGGCAGGCTTGYTTTCTAATTACTGAGAGAGTTCAGCTGGTGTCTTGGCTTTCCATGCCTTTTTACACCTCCCTTTCTTCATGTGTTCAATACTTTTTCCCTGTGCCATTCCACATTATTACAAATAACTTAATTTCTGGACATTTATGTTTGATTTCTTTGTATGTATGGATCACTTGGGTTGTTACCGACATCTGGTGAAAATTTCATGTCATCAGCACCTCTAGTAATACAGTATATTTACTGAGAAAAATGGTGACGTGTTCAATACTTATTTTACCCACTGTAAATGCCCCCCTCACAGCCTCTGTGCTGTTAACACCTGTTAGTCTTTCCTCAGGTTCAAGGACACCTGGTTTTCACCCACAGCTCTCCTCTTTGCACTCTGAGCTCCAGCTGGCCAGTTTCATCTAGAGGGGACAGAATCAGAACCGGGGCACGAGCTTCCACCGGCAGCTTCAAAGACCGCAGGGTGATTACAGGTTGTTACATAAGACGTTACCTGTCAATAAACAGGAGATAAACACACGAGCTGCCAGCGGTGCAATTAAAGCCGGTGGACTCGTTGGCCTTCTTTCATAACTTACTACTTTGCTCTCTGACTGCCTGCGCCCGTACAATAAGTTAATGACGAGTCAACAAATGTGCGCGAGCAGGAGCTGTTCCACGGGAGGTGGGGTGCAAATCCTCGGCTGTGATTGGCTGTCACTCCCATTTGTGAACGCTGCTTGTTTGTGTGCAATCAGAATGGCAAAACAATCCACAAACCTCACAGACAAGTCATCTGAAGCCTGCATTGTTATACTACAAACTGTTTTAACGGGTCACATCAAAGAAGCTCATCTTACAAGGATCTCGCAAAAATTCACCCGTTATTCGTCGCGTTTCACATTAGGTGCGTGAAAATCGACTGAAACAACAAAAACAAGCGTCTAGGCAGGAGCACAAGCCTGAAGGCTGCCCGGTAGGCCCGTCAGAGGGAGCACAGCAGCTGAGCTCGGGGGATGTCATCCTACCCCGTCTCTACTCCAGCCCTTTTTGGACCTTCAGCACATTCCTGTGCGAAGCTGTTCCCCCAATGAATGAAATACTACTAAAGTAGAACTCGGAAACACTCGGTCATCTCAGACTTTAGAAAAGAAAAGTCTTTACTTGACTCGTCTGTAAAACAGCAGAAAAACAGAATAACTATAAAGCAAAAAAGTCAGACTATTTTCCTTTGAATGCTCCTTAAACACAGACCCCTTCTTTTGACTGCACCAGACTCTTCTAATCAATTTATAAGCTGCTATCTTTACAGTAAAAATCAACCTTAATCAGGGACAGGATGTTTGTTTTAAAGCACTGTAACCACAAAACAGGAAAAAATATTGTGCAATCTATTTATTTTTTTTGGATGCTCCACAGCAGTGGTTCCCAAACTTTTTATCTTCTGACCCACAAAATATCCAYGGAAAAAAAACTTGTGACCCCAAATATTACTGTTCTGAGGACACGAACTTCATTAATAACCCTAAAAACACAGGCTTTTTGACAATCTAAACAGCTTGTACACAAATATAAATACTTATTTATAGTTATTTTGTGTTTTTGTAATAGGTATAGGAAAAATATTACATCAGCAATTATTTTATTACCCTTTAAATTGATTTCTGGAGATTATCCAGGTGCTTCATGACCCATAATTGGGTCCCAAGCCCAACTTTGGGAACYAAARTGCAGTGGTTCCCAAACTTTTCARCTTWTGACCCACARAATTGTACAAAACAGTAGCAGAGACCTGWGCCCCCAACTATTTTTGGATGATAAACATTTGTATCAGGTCAACAAAACATGGGCATAGTAACAATATTTTTATACTACATTTACCCATTTTAAATACACTAACCTCACTCCTTTGTAACAACTAAGGCAAAAATGTAATTAATTCCTAAAATCTTTTCAGGACCCCACCTTGATGTTTCGGGACCCCACTTTGGGTCCCGACCCCAACTTTAGGAAACACTGCTCCACAGGGTTTCACAAAAAAAAAAGTATTTATTTAATCAGTTATACTGAACAGCATGATTGAAGGTGCGGCTGCACTATGTATGGAAACAGTCATGTTGACATTCAGAAAGGTGTACTGAGATAATGGTTTGGTGCTCTGTGTTCAATACTGGTTGCTTTTTTTTAAATCAGGAGGATAACACTGATTATGCTGATGTTTAAATCAAGTTTAAGGAGAAGTAGAACATGAGTAAAATGTACAGATCTTGTTACTTTTTCTTAAATTCCTGTGCCGTGGAGGATTTCTAAGTGTTTTATTACTGTGTGGATTACATCTTACTCTGGTAAGTTTAGAATAAAATCAGTTATTTGGTAATGAAGAAGTGGTTATTTTGATTTTTTTTTACACCAGGCTGTTTCCAGTATTGTTTTTCTGAATTTTATCAACCTTACTTACAGATGTAACAATTAGAAGTGTGGTCATCTTTAAAATCTCCAGCAGAGGTCAGTGTTCGTCTGAGTTTCATGTCAGGGCTCCTCCAGCCCTCACAGATGAGAATCTTACAAATTATTATCTTGGTTTATTATTTTACAATACAGAAGAGTAGAAGAAAGATGGAGGTGGTGACCACAAAATAAAAAGATTTAATAACAGAATGTTTTAAACTAAATAAATTCAACTTCAAGAGGAACTAATTATAGAGAGAAAAATGTGAGAAGTATATTTAAAAACTGCAACAACTTCCTTTTTTGTGCAACTAATGGATTCTGATCATCCTGTTACCCAGAAGAAAAAATGCAGCCTTTACAGGTTTATGTAAGAAATTTTTTAATGACATATTGGTGATTCAAAGTTTCAAAACTGTCCTGCATTGCTTTTTATATAAAAAATAAATAAATAAAATTCACGCCTGATTGTTAGTTTGGATAAAGATCATGATTGCGTCAATGATTACTTCTCAAAAAGTACTTTGAAAATATGAAAGTGTGCGTTTACAAAATCCCCCCATTAAATACATTAAGTTCAAGGTGGTAATCAGCTTTATGTCCCTCTCAGACTAAAAAAAAAAAACAAACCTTATGGCTGCAAAACAGGTTCACATTTGGGCTGGTGTGTGGAAAAACCTGTGGAGGACTGATGTGCAGGAGATGTGTCATGAATGGATCACAGAACCGGTCATGTGCCCGGCCTAAGAATGAGACGAGTTTCACCTGTAAAATGAGAAAAGAAAGTGTTTGAAATTAAAAACAAAGCAGTCACAAAAACAAACAAACAAAAAAAAAAAAAAAAACCATAAAGACACAATGAGACAAAAGTGACTAATCAATATGATTCAAAACAGTTACAGAAGAATGCAGAACAAAAACTTCAGGGACATAAGAGAATGACCTAAAATAAATGAACAAAGACACACAAAATATTAGAAAATTATGTAAAACGACTATAAATTATTTTTTGAATGATCCCTGATACAGATGAGTGACAAAAATACATAAATCATTGACCACATAAAGATATATAAATTAAATAAACCATAAAAATAAGAAAAATGTTAAATAGCTCTATAATTTAAAATGAAACATGTGACCCATGGGCCTATTTATTTAACATTTTTGGGTCACCTTGCCCCACCTGTTAATTAAAATTTAGACTTGGCCATACTTGTGTTCTTCAATAAAGCCTTTCTCGAAGATTCGTCCCGCCTGTCTGTCCGCCATGTTGGCTCGATTAGTTTTCCTGCTCGGACTCGTTTAGTCGGCCTGCCTGCTCTGAAGTAAACCTGTGTCGACCACTGCGTCGTAGTTCGCTGTTTCATTGCTTGTTGGTGAGTGGGGTTTTATCACAGAATTATCTAATGAATTTTAAACCTTTAGCGAGTCTTTGTCTGATTCTGGTCGGGCCGGACTCCGTGTAACACAGAGAGTAAACCTCAGCTAAAATCGATCGCCATTGATTGTAGCCAAACCTGTCACCAGTCCAGAAGTTCACGTAGCCTAAAACACTTCAGTTTGTCCTGTTTTTGAAATACCTTTTTAAACAGCCTGTGAATTGTTATAGAGCTGGGTAAGTTAGACGAATAAGTCACAATAGACCAAATGTTTTTAGATGTTTGTATTATTTTGTCTTTAATTTTGCACTGGCTTTTTGTGTTTTATTTCGAAAGGCTACGTCGGACTGGTTTTGAGACGTGTTGAATGAAACCCTGGTAATAAGTAACCTTCAACAGAGATCAAATGCTTTTGTGACACTTGTGCGTTTCTATTTTTATTTCTACTTTTATTTATTATTTCATTTTTATTTTATAAAAATCGCGAAAATTCCTAATGTGTTGGCTTTTTGAGGTATTTTATTTTGAAATCAGAAAAGGAGAAAAATACACACAGGCCGTAATGTTTGGTGAAGTCGCGCACTACAGATTTAAATACATATTGTTTTCTGTGTGGTCATATGAAAGCAGTAAACTGTAAAGTTTTATAGAGAAGTTTTTTATTATTGTTTTATAAATTTATAGATATATAAATCACTACTTTGTAGTCTTTCTTATTGCACTGCAGATGTACAATGGTAAGTTATACTTGATTGCAGTGCATTTCTGTGGAACTTGTGGGTCTCTATTTTTTTACCAGGAAAAAACAACAACAACAACAACAAAAAAAAACCTCTTCCTCATTTGACAGACGTCTCTATTGGCTGCTTCTTTTATCGTGTTTATCTCTCTTTTTTCCCCTCCTGACTTTGGTGACTAAGTTATAAAGCACAATGACTCAAATACATCACTTTGAAAGCGGATGAGCTGAAGCACTGAGAAGAGCAGCTTTGTTTGCACTTTGACAACAGACAAGTCAGTATTATTCTTACTTTGGAATTGTTTGAATAGAGAAGTCAGTTCATTTCTCCTTTTTGTGTTGCATGCTGTGTTTGTTTGACATGTTAATACATTTTACTCAAATGAGAACTTAGAAAAAGTAATAGTTTAATTACAAAAAAACTGTCAAATTAGGTAAAAAACCGCTTTTCCTTTTTTTTTTTTTTTTTTTGTTAATACTTTTAACAGGTGCAGGTAGTTATTGCATTACAGCACAGTGGCTTGGTCTGACCTTTTATAAGAAAGCCTTGTGTTTTATGTCTTCCAGTGAGATTTTGAGGATCTTGTTAGTGAGAAGCTCAGACTTTACCCACAGTCACAGATGCTGGCTCTGTCCAGATGTTCGCCTGCTCTGAGGTGGAGACTTCCCCTGTGCTGCTCTGCTGTCCCTGTGGGGAGCTCCACCGTGAGCAGCCAGCCCTCCGCCACAACCCGACCGCAGTTTGTAACAACCCAGACCATGTGGTTTCACCAGAGTAGAGCCAAAGCAAGTCCTGATCCAAAGATCCCTTCAGGCAAGGACGTATTTGTCGGCTGCCACAGTTAGCTGCCCACCGTTGCAACAGGAAGCATTTTTTAATGTGAACAAATTTCTCTTTTTGATTTTATCTTTCAGCTAATATATGATGCAAATAGACTAGAGAAAAACGTCACATTAACAACATTTAAGTGCAATTTCTTATTATTCTTGTTGATGCAAAGAAAATGAATTTTATTTCTGTGCAGCTGAGAGCTGATTAGATATTTAAAAACCTTGAGCTCAAAGATTAAACATGGTGTCATTTTTAAAACACGGTAGATAAAAATAGGTTTGTTCCATCTTTATCCGATATGTGTTTGAGGGGGCTGAGTGTGAAGAGAGAGAAACTGCTGTTGTTTATTTTTTATTTTTTGCTTTGTTTTCCGCAGTGTCTGCCTTCTGGTCCGGACTGGAGCAGGAGCTGTTAGAGATGGGGGTATGGTCGGTGGGTCTGGGGGCTGTCGGAGCGGCCCTAGCTGGGATCTTCTTAGCAAACACCGATATTTGTCTTCCTAAAGGCTCAAAAGCATCACTGGAATACCTGGAAGATGCAGATCTGCGTTCCACAGCGGAAGGTAGATTCCAGGTCCGGTTTGAGCGTCAGGTTTAAGTGTTGCTGTAGAGAGTTTATTCTTTGTTGTTTTTTTTTTTTTTTTGTCTTCAGATGAGAAAACCATCAAAGCAAAGGTCCTGTGGGAAGAGAACGGGGCAGTGGTGATGGCCGTAAGGCGGCCTGGATGATTTTTGTGCAGAGAGGTAGCTTCAGTTTGAACGGTGAGGCTTGTCGGTCTCATTTCTCCCAGTGTTTACGTTTCCGTTCTTACTGCAGGAGGCCTCCGAGCTGTCCTCTCTGAAACCCCAGCTGGAGGAGCTCGGGGTCCCTTTGGTCGCTGTGGTGAAAGAAAACTTGGCCGCAGAGATCGAGGGCTTCAGACCGCACTTCGCCGGGGACATCTACATTGATGAACAGGTTTGCGTAGAGATTTACTCTGAACCCTTGATGAATCTCATCACTTTTTTTTTTTTTACTGCTAATGCCTATTTTTGGAGTAACTTGGTCTATAAAATCAGTTGAAATGAGCTCAAACTGCAGTGCAGAGAATGTGAAAATATTACTTTTTGCTGTAACTGAGATCTGTGTAAAAATGCATCTATTAAATTCAGTCTAGTGATCCCAGTAATTAAAAGAGTCGGTCAGTATCTTACCTGCAGTAGACAGAGTAATATCAGTGAGATTTTATTTTTTTACATTTGTAGAAACATTTCTACGGACCACTGCAGAGGAGGATGGGAGGTTTGGCCTTCCTTCGCCTCGGCGTGTGGAGGAACTTCTTTCGGGCCTGGAAGTCTGGTTACAAGGGCAACATGAACGGGGAGGGCTTCATCCTTGGGGGAGTGTTTGTTATCGGACCAGGAAACCAGGTTAGTTGGTCGAACATCAGAGTTGCACAGATTTGTCAAACACATCTAACAGGAATCCTCCCTACATTGAAACTGCATGTTTTTTTTTTTTTTTGTTTTTTTTTGCAGGGGATCCTCCTGGAACACCAGGAGAAGCAGTTTGGAGATAAAGTGGACATAAAAGACGTTCTGCAGGCTGTAAAGAAAATCGTTCCAGAGAAGTAGTTTCTGCAGCATTAATGAAGCAAGTACACTTAAGATCAAATGAGCAAACGGAACATTTTTAATGAGCTATAATTTGTTTACATAGATTATGATAGAATAATGTGCTGCTGAAGCTCTAAAATGCAGGACAGAGCTAATGCTTTTTCTCAGTGTGTTTGAATATTCCACAAAACGTCCAAAAAGAAATTAATGTTTTTTTTTTGCCACAAGCATAAACCCGCCCCGCCTAAAGGCAACATTTCAGGTACAGAAATATTCAGGTAGTGATAAACTTGAAATGTCCCAACTACTGATTTTAATCTAAAGGCCGGCCTTCATACTTGATCACATTTATCTGTCCGCTATATATCTGACACAATCAATGCTGTCTTCTTGTAAAAGCTGACTTTACTGCTGACCTGACACCTGAATGCCCTCTGACATGGAGGACAGGAGTGTGTGATCCGTGTGTGTGTGATAATGACAACTTGACTCTAAACTCAGTGAGAGGAGCTAGTTCGATGCTGGACACACACACCGGTTCAGTTCCTTCCCTCGAGCAGAGGATTGTTTGTGGTTTGGTCACGTAGTAGGTTCTGCTTTGCACGAGTGTTTGTAGGAGGCATGTACTGTGCTGTTCAGCTGCTACTGAATAATAATAATAATAATAATAAACACTTTAATGTTGAAGCTTTCGTGTGTGTGTTTTTTTCAATTTGCTTGTGATTTCCTGATTTGGAAATGTCTTCAAATTTGTTGCGGGCGTGGATAAAACTTTATCGGCTATTAAAATAATAAACCTGCTAATTTTTTTTGCTAATAAAGATTTACATTCAAAATACTTGTATTAAATTATAGGATGAAAACAACCTTGCAAGAAAATCCCTGCCTGCTTTTCTTTGGCTGTCTATTTTACCAAAAATATTAGTTTGACTTGTTTCAGTTTTCATCAAATTTATTGTTTTATCAAATTTGATCATTTTAACAATACAATCTTTTTTAACTAAAACCTTGAGAGGGTATCAAAAATATGAATCGCACTGAAATGACTAAGCATGTTATATTTTACAAAAACAAGCTGAAAAGCTTCAGTCATCAAGTATTTTAGTTTAGTGTTAAATCATTGAGCAGACGCATCTAAACATTTTGTCACACATTTTATTTTATTGCTTTCAGCAGAATACCTTTCACATAAGATTCAAATTAACAAAAACAAGAGGAGTGAACACTGTGCACCAATACTGACGGGTCTGTGTACAAACAAGATAATCCAAACATTCATGGAGCGTAACAGAGATTTTTACATCCGAGTAGTCATCCCAACAAAAGTGAAAATCAAGTGTTTTGGGGCTTGTTTACATGTGTAAGTTGATGAAATGTGTTTAAATATTTAAAACCAGAACTGCTTGTCCTTAGTGAATATTTGACACTTTACAGGGGAAAAGCCACGTGAAGCATTCGGAAGCAAAACTAAAGTTTTTAAAAAGCTACAAACTTCATTTTTATGAGATTCCGGCAGTTCAGTCACAAGCTGAGATGAACTCCGTAATCCACTGATTCCAACGCTTCGATTTGTTCGGAACCCTTTTACTACAGGAAACCAGCAGAAAGCAGGCTCACGAGGTTCACTCAACACAATAAAAGAAAAAACGGTGTTTAAAAAGCAGCGTAAACCCAGTCAACTTTCAGCAACACTCCTCGCATCAATCGTATTTTAAATAAAGCTGCTAAATCTACTCTAAAATATTGCAGTGCTGTATTTGTTGGATTCAAGCATTTCAAAATAAATGAGTACGTGTGGGATTTAAATATTTATAAAGATCAGAATAAATAATTTCCATGTCAATAAAGCTAACAGAACGAATATACTCACATTCGGCTAATTTGTAAGTCTCGATGCAACTGCTAACATTTCAGATGACATAAAAACAATAACTTATTTCAGCATACTAAATTAACCTGTAGAGCAGCCACTACAGTCCCTTTTACTTTAAACGAATGATTACACAGCTACAAGTTTCACCATAAACATGTCCTCTACACTCATACTGTCACTACGTAGGATTTTCTACAGGCAAATACAAAACATCACGTTGCACAAATGCTGAAATATGGATGGTAGTTTTTCTGCATCATGTTGGCTTTAGAAAGAGGAACACTTCTCTGATCTGATAACCTTTTTAGCAGAAGAGGCGCTCGCTCAGTCGCAGGGAAACGGTTCGTCTGTAAACAAACAGCTGATGTTTTAGTGCATTTCTGGGGCCGGTTTGGTCGAGTCCTTTACGTTATATACAGCAGTCAAGAAAAAAATATACTTATCTATATATAACTAAGACAAACACTTGGATAAATTCACTATCAGTACAATATAACCACAACGGACAGAGTTCGATGAATATATTTGATCAGAGATGCTCAAACTGAAACTGCACAAAACTGGCTTCCTTCACTTCTAATAGGATCTAAATATTTTACTAAATTTGGTCTGAGAGAGCTTTTGCAGGCAGCCTCGTTTATGCAAATAAAACGTTTGTGCTAGATTTGTCTTCAAAACGAAATAAAAACCTTGAGCTATTTTGAGTTTAAAAGCTTTAACTAAACATTTAAACCATGAAACTGGTCAGACTTAAGAAAAACTTTAGATAGCAGCGTTTTTAACCACTTCCTCTCAGCAACGCAACACGATAGAACACCCACAAACCAAACATCTCTTAAAGAAACTATTAATCTAAAACAAGCTGCAGAACGTCTTCATAAGATATAAAAACTCTCGTTAGATTTTACTCATTTAGCTGTAATATTTTAAATACATTTGTTTGGACAGGTAACTAGCACCACATTAACTTGTCTATGAACAGGAGAGGATATAAGTACACTTAAAGGAGAGATGAATGGAGAAATAAAGCTGCACAGGTTGACAAAAGGCAGACAAAACAGGATGTTTACAATCAGGAGATGGACCGAGCTGCTTAACACTTTTCTGTGTAATTATATTACTGATAAAAAGAGGCAACAAGTGTATCATATATAGAAGGTGTGAAATATTTTAAATTAAGTTTTCAAAACAGTGATGAGACTAAGCAAGGATTTTAAAAAGTGAGCACACGAAACCATTGTTTTTTTTTTTTTTTTTTTTTACAACTTACGAGCACAAGCCTTCATTTGCAGCTGGAATCATTTATCAGGACGTTGGTTTGAGCGCAGCAAGAAACGACAACAAGATTGATAATCTTTAGTTGCCACACAATCAGTAGTTCAGTCTATTGGAAGACAAAAAAACCCACAACAGATTTTAAAAAAAATCAAACATGTTTCTTAACAAGATTCATTCTATAAAGAAAAGCGTAAGGATTATTTCTACATGACATGTAGAAATAATAACTTCCACTGACTTAAAGCAGCTCAATGCAGTAAAAAACAACAACAGTACACACAAAAACATAAATACATTTAACTTTTCTCCCTCACATGTGCCCATGATAACAGACGTGTGTGTCAGTGTGCATGTGGGAGTTTCGTGCGTGTGCTTGGAGACGTGCCGGCTGCGCCTACAGGCCCTTGTTGAAGAAGACCGTGGTGGTGTGAGGACTCGTCTGTCGTATCCTCTCCTGCAGATCTGCTTCCAGGCTGCTCACGTTCATAGAGCTACAAAGAGACGGTCGGCCGTTATTGTGTTGTGTTCGGTAACGCTTCGTGAACAACGAAAGGCGGCGTGAAAATTACCTTTTCTGAGGAAACAGGGCGCAGCACAGAGGAGTTGCAAACACCAGACTACAAATGAGAACAGAACAGGATGTTTGGGACATCTCTCTCAAAAATAAATACAATAAAGCTACATTCACACTGCACGTCTTAATGCTCGATTCTGATTTTTTTTGTTCAGTCGTTCACATTCTATTTTAAAAGCAACTTCCATCAGATTCTAATGTGAACGCTGTACCGTTAATTCCACTCACATGTGCAGAAGAAGACCTAACGTCACATCCTGTTCAAGGAAGTAAATATGGACGCTACATGTTAGCGTGTCGATTCTGAAGTTGTTGGGCAATCAGAGGAGATTAAATAATTATCTGACCTGCTTGTTTAGTCCACAGTTTACAACCAGCTGCTCCAGCGCAGCATTTATTTATGGTAATGAGAGCAATGTGCTGAAAGTAAAACTAACTAAATTTGGTATTGATATGATCCAAAACTGATGTTATAATAATAATATTAATAAGTCTCTGTCAGTGTGCCCCAGGGCAGCTGTGGCTACAATGTAGCTCACTGCCATCAGTGTGTGAATGTGAGTGTGAATGAATGATGCATGAAAAATTGTAAAGCGTCTTTGAGGGTCTCGAAAAGCGCTATATAAAACTAATGCATTATTTTTATTATTATTATTATTATAATAATCAAATAGAATAAAAATAAACAATAAATTGTTGTACAAGGCAATAAAAACAGAAATAAGCTACTCTGCAGGAAAATTTCAAAGAAAAACAGTCATGACAGACTCATGTTCTAAGAGGGTGTGCAATTAAGTCAAGTTTAGGGCTGCAACTAACGATTATTTTAATAATCGATTATTCGATTAATCGGCCAAATCATTAAAATGCTTAATTACAAGAATATGAGTAGGTATAAATAAATTTCATTCCTGTATAAATTAGGGATGCAAGTTATTGATAAATTAATCTGAAGTTGATTATCTTATAGATTGACTAACGATTAAATGATAAGCAGACATTTTCTTGAAAACCAGAGTTTTCTCTTGAATCAAGAGGGTATTTTCATAACATGAAGATTTTTTTTATAATCTCCTGAATTAAAAAACAGAAGCACATTATAAATATTTTAACAATTTATTTTGCCAGTTGTATTAAATACTGACTGAAAAAAAAATGTGTATTTCTCACTCATACAACAGAATTTTAATAGGTTACTGAATGAGGAAAATAGATTAAAAGAATAAAATATGATTTTTTAAAACTATTATTCATGTATTATAATTAGAATTTATTTACATTTAACATTTATAATTTTTCTTTAATTCTTTACTTTATTTTTCCTTGTTGGTTCTGTCTGACTAAAACATTGTTTGACCCAGTAAACGGTTCTGAAGCAGCCCACCCCTCCCCAACTGAGGCAGACCTGCTG